GGAGGAGGAGGAGGAGGAGGAGAGGGAGGGGGGGGAGGGGGAGGAGGATAGATAAGAGTGAGGAGGACGGGTGGCTCGGTTAACCCTCTGCAAACCGTGCAAACCACCTGGGCATGGGAGCAAACGCCCTGAGCTGGAAACTACGATGCGCGAGGCACGTGACACGTAATGCAAGCCTGCCCTGTCGCTCATATCATGTGGCAAGCTCTCGCACATCCCCAGCACCATCGCAGATCATGGCGTTCATAGGGATCAGAGACAGAGGTGTCCTCATCAGCAACGTCGGGCAGTCATCGCAAAATCCCGATGACAAAATTAGCATAGTACTGCACATCGTGGAGGAGCTGCGAAAGAACAGACGGGCGTCCCATCGTATCTCTCCATCATCAATTTGTCAATTGGGTGACAACAAAACATGCGACCGTAGATCGCTAGCTCACGGATTACAGCACGCATATAAAAATCTGGACGTCACGAAAGAGCCACGCCAGAAGGAATTGTGCGCACGTGATGTCAAGCTCCTCTTCCTCCTCCTCCTGATCTCCTCCTCCTCCTTCTCCTCCTCCTTGTCATCCTCCTGCTACTCATTCCTCTCCTCATCCCTTTCCTCATCGTGTCAGCAACAGGTCTTACAAGACGATGCGGGGGCAGAATATAAGGTCGACGCATTTGCACAGCATCTGGCCCGCTCGAATCTTCCAAACTAGCACATCACGGATGATCTGCGAGCAGTCTCATCAAGGATGATCTGCGATCGTACGAAAATGACATGTCACGACAGCAGGCACTGCAGAAACCGCAGGGCAAGGGGGCGTCTCCTGGCGAGCATCGCCATCTTACTGGTGGTTGGGTTTGACTGCCTCGGGCAGCCTGCCATCACGAGGCTGTCCGAATATCGGAGATCGCAGTCATGGTGCAGTGAGCACGTCAAGCCGAACGCGAACACAACCCGAGTCTCCAGCACACCACGAGTACGTACCACAAATGATCGGCCATGCGATGCAAGAGCAGGTGCCCAAAAGACTCCGCTGTGCATACTGCGTCCTCCTGTGCTGCCAAGCAAATCAAACATGGAGAGAACGGCTGCATGAAGAACCGCTGTAACTTGCCGATTGAACAAGGATTCATCAAGTAATTCTACACCGCGGTAGCAAATGAGTCCTAGACTGACCCCTCAAAATTACAGCATCACAAAAGAGGAACCGCTGGATGCCTGAGGCGGGAATTGCGCGCACGCAGGATGCAATAAGCTGGACTCAGCTCGAGCACTATGCCGGCAGACATCGTGCGTCTGCGCTGGTGGCGGCAATGTCAACAACTCGGCATCGCACACGCTGCACGTCGCGAGAACATCGAAGCACTTCCCAAGATACACGTAACACTAATGCCCTGGCTCTTGCAGAAGGGAACGACGTGGGAGAAAAGGACAAAGAGGAGCCTCTTGGTACTATCCTGGCGTCTTATGTTGGACATGTTGGAGTATCCTGGGGCCCGCTTAGACGCATTGGGGGAATGATGGGCAATGTTTGAGCCTCTCGAGGCCGTTTTTGAACGATCTGGAGGGGTCAAGCCTCTGAGTCCATCTCGGGCCACAATTGGACTGAGACATGGAGGATATGAACAGGCAAAACGCATGATAACCTAACGGATCTTTTTGAATTTGGCCTGTCGGGCGCCTTCCGCGAACCGTCTATGGCCCCCTCTGCTTGGGGCAGCATGTGCCTTCGCCGACGCCTCCTGGGGATCTTGGAGACCCTCGCAGGCCGTGTTGCAAGCAATGTTGCAGGAGCAGGGCCCAGGGGGGGAGGAGAAGGGGAGAAAGAGGAGGAGGAGGAGGAGGAGGAGAAGGAGGAGCACGAACGAAGACGAATGACAAGCACAAGTGGCACGCGCGCCCTGGGCCTTGCACGGGGGACCGGCGAGGGCCAGGAGAGGTGTGCACAGGGGGGGAGCCTCCTGGGGCCATCCTGGGGCCGAGCTGGGCATTCTGGTGGCATCCTGGGGGCATCTCGGGCTATATCCGTGGGCTATTCGGGGGCCAGGTTCGGCTCTCTTGAAGCTCCCGTGGAGGCTTCCTCGGCACATGACAAGGGTCTTTCCGGCTAGTTGGGGCCCGAGTTGGGCTTCACGTCTTCTGCCTGCCACCTGCTTGGCTTGCGGGAGGCCCCAAGATGGCACCCGAGACCGTCACCTGAAGCACGAAGACGGCCTCGGGCTGACCAAGATGGCCCCATGGTGGCCCGCTGCGACCCCAAGATGGCACCGAAGACAGCCCATGATCGCCTAACGGTCCGCAGGGTTCCAAATGTGTTGCAATTCTGCCACACACACAAAAAAAAAATGGCCAACCTGGACCCTCATAGACGGCTCCAACTTGGGCCCTAGATGGCTCCAGAAGGCCCAAAGTTGGCCAAGATTGCAAGCAGCATGCCACAACAAGCCTTGAACGTGTCCACCTTCTTTTCCAGCACGGATGCCCTCAAGCAACAAACTCACCAGAAGGTAGACCAGCGGCAAAGGGGGAATTACTACAAGAATGGCACCCATGCACCGCACCATTGTTCGGACTCCCTTGAGGCCTCGCTGGAACGCGGTGCGGTACACAGCACTTCGGCTCTAACGGGCCGAGACACGGTGCACCATACCATTCCTGAGCCGAATATCGACGACGCCTCGAGAGAGGCCAACACGCTACGGTGCACACATGTCGTCCGTGGAATCCCTCCAGCACTCTGGGCGTAGATGGTCTAGGGAGGCTCCTCTTCCAACCCCCTTCTTCCCCTTCGGGATAGGATTTATCCCTCCCCCTACCCTCTCCTGGACCTGAACGGGGGGGGGGGGCGAGGCGTTGGAGAGTCCCGGCCAAGATGGCCCAAGACGGCTCCAAGAGGGTCCCTGAGAGTCCTAGATGAGGTCCAAGATGGCGCAAGATAGCGCACGATGCCTCAAGATGGCTCCCACGATGCCTCAAGAGGCCCCAAGAATGTTTCAAGACGGCTCTATGAGGCCTCCGAGACCTCCAAGGAGGCCCCCAAGAAGCCAATAACCTTCAAAAAACCAATATCCTTCAAAAGCCGAAGGAGAATCAAGGATTGTTGCTTTCTCGCCTTTTCGCTTCCGGTGACCATCCGAGGCCTCAAGATGGCTCTAAGATGACCCAAAAGGGCCCCAAAAAAGACCCAAGAGAGCCCCAAGACGTCTCCAAGAGCGCCCAAGAGCACTCTAAGAGCGCCCCAAGAGCGACCAAAGGGGCCACTTTTGGGCCTCCCAAGGGGGTGGAATGGGAACCCCTCTTATTTGATCGATGTCCTCCAAGATGGCCCCAACAAGAGCGCCCAAGATGGCCCCGCGAGGCGCCAAGACGGCCCCAAGAGGCGCCCAAAATGCCTCCAAGAGGCTCCCAAGAGGCCCCCAAGAGGCTTCAAGAGGATCCCCGAGGCACCAAAACGCTCAAAGATGGCCCTTGACTCGCCAAGATGCCCCTTCTCCTCCTCCTTCTCCTCCTTCTCGTCCTCCTCCTTCTCCTCCTCCTCCTCCTGCTCCTCCTCCTCCTTGTCCACTGACTCTTCCTCCTTCCTCTTCGCCCGCCTCCTCCTTTTCCTCCTTCTCCTTCTCCTCCTTCTCCTCCACTATCCTCCCCCATCTTGGGGTATCGGACGGCTTCCCCCGCCTGTTGTTTTTCTGCATGCTCCTCCACTTCCCTGATCACCTCAACCCCCCTAGGCATCGTTTCTGGATGGGCAGGTGGGGATGCTTTTTTGGGGTACGCGGGCGCGCGAAGACGAGTCGAACGCCGTGCAGGCTAACGCGGGCCGCGCCAAATCAAAGGGGAAAAGAGCGAAGCGAACGGCAGGTGGGGATACTTTTTTGGTCGCAGCCACCAGCGAGCGCGCAAGCGGCGAGAGGAGTTGTCCGGGCCGGCGGGCAAACCTAATTAGCTACTGAGCGCAGTACGAGCCGGCCGGGCCAGCTCACAAACGCGGCAGCTGGGGCAGCTGCGGGGGGCTGGCTGGCTGAACTGGAACACCCAGGGAAGCTCGAGCAACGTGCAGCCATGCGGCAAAATGCCAGGGAATTCTGTGTTACGCGCCGTGGCGGCCAGACGTGGTAAGCGATGGGCCGTCGCCGGTGGGGCGCCAAGCCCGCAGGTGGGGAGGGTCGCAGGGCAAGACGTCGACGGTTCGCACAGAGCGCAGTGGTGCAAAGCCATGGTAGAACAGCCCGCCACAGGCGCCGCCGACTCTGTTTGTCAAAGAGAATGTTGGTGGGGCGCGGATGGTCGCAGGTGTGTCGTGTCACGAGTGAGTCGCGGATGGGCCGCGGGTGGACTGCGTCGTGGGTGGGTCGCGGGCAACGACATCACCATGATGAGACAGATGACTTCAACAGCAACGACAAGCCGCACCGCGGAGCACCTCTGCAGCCACGCACCGAGGGACAGTCTGAGGCCGCTCGGCCCCCTTCACTCTGCTTAGTACACGGTTGGGGGGGGGACACGTGTCTTTTTGCCCCTCGGCGCCTGGACGCAAGATCCGACGATGTGCTTGGGTCCGAGGCGTAATGATACCAGATCGTGGAGATGAAAGACTAATCTGGCGAATTCATCCGTAGCGAAGCCTACGTGGTCGACGAGTGCGGAATCTGAACGGCTACTGACCTTGGGCATCGTTCCTAAGGAGCGGGGAATGCCCACGGCACGAACGTCCCCACACACCGTCATTTGAATCCACAACCATTCAGACGCAAAACGTGGCGCGCAGACATCCACAAGAAGCCCAAAATCGGCTGCAAGCATCAGGTACTCTGGGCTGGGGCGCACCGATAGGCACCACAAAGCTTAATATGAGCAACGTTGAAGTATGTTTTATGTTTAATACGCATCCCAGCGTACGTGCAGCAACACCCCCCGCCCACCACCAAAAAAAAATCGCTGTCTTCTTGAAAACCAAGCAACTCCCCAACACCTTGCAGCCAATGCCCCTCCAAGCAGTTGAGGATTTTGGCGGTGCGTGCCTGCCGAATCGAGGCGTACCGTGCCAGTGCAAGCGCAATTGCAAGCAGCGTCACACGGAGGACGGGAGGCAGCAGCCGCGCAAGAGGCAAGGAGCGATCGTACACCTGCGTTTGTTTGGACAAGGGCAAGCAGACAGCTCCTCAAGGCAAGATGGCTCGCGGAAGTTCGGGCGCCAAGCAAATCCTCACTGGATACTGGCTCCCGGTGAGACTACACTCAGCTCGGCACGGCGACTCCGGCTGCTGGCAAGTGCACCTGCTCCTCGGCATCCTCGTCCTCGCACTCATCTGCCTCTGGCACCTCGTCGGTTTCCTCGTCCTCGTCATCTTGCCTTCTGTCAGCGGGGGGCAGATCAGTTTCGTAGTACTCGGTAGCGTCCTCGTCCTCGTCCTCGTGGTCCGCTGCCTCCTGCTCCTCCAACTTGTCGGTCGGCAAGCTGACAAATTCCTTAGCCGCTTCGTCCTGCCCAGTGTCAACTCGTATGTCCTTCTCGGGTCGGGCGAAAGGGGGGATAGCAAAGGGGGGGGTTGAGAATCAGCTCACGTAGCTGATTTTCCCGGCGCCTCCCAGCGCCGGAGGCTGCTATATGTCGAGGAATGGGCCCCTCGGTGAGGCCGAAACAAGCTGCATGCAGCAAATTTCGTAACCCCCCCTTTCCCAATCTCCCCCTTTCGTCCGGCCCGACCTTCTCCTTCTTCCGTTTCTTCTTGCTACAAAGAATCGCACGACCCAGCATCGCCGCGGGGGTCTCGATGCCATCTGGCAGCGTCTCCGCCCAGCTGCAGCCGACCACGTCGGATGGCCAACTCTCCCTCGACGAGTCGTACACGAGGTCCCACTTTGTTGACTCCTCGGGGCTGCTGTCTTGCCCTGCTCGGCCCTCGGCAACAAACATCCTGTCGACAGTCAATCGAAGCGCCTGGTCCAGCATCGCGGGAATGAGGTGGGACAGATAAGCGCAAACCAATTCCAGGCACGGGTTCGCGTTACACTCGATAATCCACGCCCTGTGGCTGGCGTCGACCATGAAATCAAACCCGTAGACCTCGAAGCAGTTGCTGATGCCTCTGGGATTCAGGCTCGGGGCAGCTGCCCTCACGGCGTCGGCCATGCATGCTTGGATTTGCGGCCATATCTTGCCCCGGACATCTAGGTTGTCCTTGGGCATGTGCTCGTCCGCGTACTTCTGCCACTCGTCCAAAGACATCTTGTTGGCGGATTCGCTCTTCCCGTAATCCTCTCCATGCTTCTGGATCGCGTCGTTGTTGAGGTGCGCCAGCTTGTTGAATTGACCCTTCAGCGTATACTTAACGCTGGTGAGACGGAGGTACGCGTCCCGGAAGCAGTAGGCCCGCCAAGCGCCACCTCCGGGCTCCTGCGTGACGAGACAGTAGGCCCTAATGTCGAACTTGCGCTTGTGAATGAGCAGCGGCCTCTCAATGTCAGAAAAACCAAATTATCCCAGTGCGACCCTACCTAGGAGTTGGAGCCTCGAGGAAAGCAGAATTAGTAGGAGAGGCCCCTTTAAGCTAAGAGAGTAAGAACCCTCTAGGCAGAGCCTAGGTAGGGAAATATCAGCTGAGCAGCGGCCTCTCAATGTCAGAAAAACCAAAATTCGCCGGCCCAACGGGCCAGAGGCGTGCTAAGATCTCCGGTAACTGGTTAACAATTCTCTAGTTCGCGCGCGCGGGGCGGCCCCTGGGGGTCCCCAGACGAAAAGTACCCCGACCAGGTCCCGGCCGGTCCCCGGCCGGGTCCCGGCCGGGTCCCGGCCGGGTCCCCCCGAGCGCTCCACGAGCGCACCAACAGGGCTCCGAAAACGTCCCCGAGGACCCAAACAAAACCAAGAGGCCCGCAAGAGGTCCCCAAGATGGTACACGAGGCGTCCGAGATGCCACAAGATCGCTCCAAGACGCCCAAGATGGCCCCCAGACGCTCCAAGAGGTCTCCAAGCGTACTCCCAAGAGGGCCCCAAGAGGCAAAATTCATTGCTTTTCCTTAGGTTTTGGACATATTTTGGCTTTTCCCCCTTTTCCGCTTCCCGAAGCCCCAAGACAGCCCAAGACGACTCCAAGATCGCCCCAAGAGGGCTTAAGAGGCCCCCAAGAGAGCCCCAAGACGGCCCAAGAGGGCTCCAAGACGGCCCAAGAGGTCTCCAAGACGGCCCAAGAGGGCCCCAAGAACGCCCCCAAAGGGGCCCCAGAGAGGGAACACGAAACAACATTTCGAGCCCTCGGCCCTAAGAAGCCCCTACGAGGCCCCTAAGAGGCCCCAAGAGGCCCCCACGAGGCCCTCAGGAGGCCCCCAAGAGTCCCCCAAGCGGCCCCAGGAGGCCCCCCAAATGCCCCCCCGAGCGCCCCAGGAGTCCCCCAAGCGGCCCCAGGAACCCCCAAAGCGCCGCATTTACACCAGGCCCTCGGGCAAACGGCAGACATGAGACTGTATGGGCCGGCGGAATGAGCGAAGCGATTAAATATCAGCACAGAAACATCATTTCCCTCAAACCCGCGCAGAGCGCGGCAGGCGCGGCGCCCGAGGCGCCGCCGGGGGGGGGGGGGGGCCAGCGCCGATCCAAGACATCGGCGCGAGGCTCCAAAAGTCTCTGCTCCCGGGCATGCGACGCCCCGATTTGTTCAATACGCGGTCCCCCAGTGTCCCAGCACTTTCCTCAGGGCCGATTTTTCATGACGGTCCCAGGGCCCGTCGAGGGCCCCCAGAGGCCGAAAATCCCCACAAGCCTTCGGTCGTGTTTTGTTACGAAAAGAACATGTCTGGGCTCATGTCGTGTTCTCTTCCTCGAGGCCTCTCGATGTACTTCTGCACGGCCCAAACCCTCTCCTTGGCGTCGACGCGGGCGGCGATCTCGCCGAGCGTCCTGTAGATCCTGATGCCCGCGCCGCGGTTGCTCCACTCGCCAGGCTTCACCAGCCACACGGCCTGCCCCGCCTCCGCCTGCAGCGCGCCGAAGGCCTCACTATTCTTTTGTCTTCTGAACAGAACAATAAACGGATAACTTGTTTGTTTGTTGTTCTCTATTCTTGCTGTGACGACAAGCTTGCAGACACCGACAAAAGAAGGGGGCCTCACTGAACTCGGCGAACCGCGGGTCCGCGGTGCCCTGCCGCAGTATGAAGGTGAGCGGCAGCACGGAGAAGGGGTCGCGGCCGAGCCTGCGGTAGAAGTCGGACATGCACTCGCAGATGCCGCGCTTGGTGCAGAGCGCCCCGTTGCCCTCGAAGTGGTTGTGCGCCCTGACCGGCGGCGGCGCGGAGGACGCCGAGGCGCCGCCGCCGCTCTGCGCGGGGAGGGCCCGGAACTTGATCGTCGACTCCTCGTTCAGCGACACGGTGAGGCCAACCCTCCCGGAGGCCATGGCGTTCAGGAAGCCGCTGCACCTCAGCCGCCCCGATCCGCAACGCTTTTTTTGTTCCGCGGGTCGAGAGAGCACCTCTTCCGGTCAAAGCTGAGCGGGCCGCGCGAAGCTTGAATTAACAGGGCTGGGGGGGGAAAAGGGGGGCGCAGCCTCAGTACGAGGCCGGGAGGAGGCAAAGCCTCGGAAGCAGGCGGTGCCGAAGCCGACGTACTTGCAACGGAGCGCCTTTTCCATGAACCCGGGCTCCGCAACACGCAGCCCCCAGCGTGCTGGCACGGAGCTCAACCCGGAGGCTGGAGACGCACGTTTGGGCGCGATGCGCGCGCCGAAACACGGGGCCGGCACGTGCCGGTGTGTTGACACGGACGCCTTGAACACGGCACGTGGTGCTAATCAGCATGGGAGTATCAAACCAGGTGAGCTTGGCGGCGCGCAGAGGGGGGTTAGGTCAAGCTGGGTGCGCTCGCGCCTCATCCGACATCCTACCCTTCCCTCCCATCCCTTCCCGTGGCGCTGATTTTTCTATCCGCGGGCGCGTGTCATAGCCGACCTGCAGCCCCCACAGAAAGACGCTTCGTGCTATGCGCAATCGGAATAAGAGGCGCTGCGTGCACAGGAGGGATGTGGCGGGAGAGCAGGAGGATGAGCGGGAGGAAAAAGGACAAAGACGAACAGCAGCAGGAGGAACTAAAGCGGAAAGATCGGGAGAAAAAGGAGGACCAGGGGAAGGCGGAAAACGGAAAACGAAGGGGGCAACAACGGTGGAGACAGACTCGGATTCAGAAAAGTGGCCCGCGCCGGGGCGAGACGAACAGCAGCAGCAAGAACTGGAGCGGAAGGAGCGGGAGGAACGAGAGCACCAGGGGAAGGCGGAGGACGGAAAGGGAGGGGGGACCACAGTGAAGCGAGGCTCGGATCCAGAACAAAATGGACCGCGAGTGGGCGAGAGCGCACTGCCGAACGGCGGGAGCAAAGCGCCAATCTCCGAAAACGAGCCCCACGCTGCAGCGGGAGCACCATCCTGCACAGCGAAAGCCACCGTATTGTTTTTGTGGCAAAAAGACTGGAAATGCCGCGTGTAAGAAAACAGCACGCGGGGGGGGCGAGAGATCTTCCTGACAACCTGAGGGGAGGAGGGAGAATCGTGTTCGTGTTGTTTCGTTGTGGAGGGGGGAGGCTTCTTAGAAGGAGGCTGCTTCTCAGAGGGCGCCGGCCTTGCGTCTGCAGACGGGGCCCGCGCCCTCTCGGAAGCAGAAGGACGCTTCCGAGAAGCCTGTCCCTCCTGCCCCACACAGCTCCCTCTGCGCGTGGCCGGGGAGCGCCGCACCTAGGGGGCCACACGCGAAACCTACCCCTACCCCCCGCGATTTCTGAGGGGGAGGGTGGGGTTCACTTCGTCTGGGAGCTCTCGAGCGAAGTCAACCCCATCCTCCCCCTCAGAAATCGTGGGGGGTAGGGGTAGGCTTCGCGTGTGGCCCCCTAGCACCTGTACTGCGACCACAGGAAGTTGACCTCGGGCTCGCCGCCCGTGGCCCGCAGCGTGACGCGCCGGTCCTGGTACGACCCCGCGCCGTGCGAGCTGCCAGGGTCCCCGGGCGCCGGCCCCCAGCACGGCCGCCCCCGCAGCAGCTGCCTCCCGGGGGGGGGGGGCGGGAGCTGCGCCGCGCTGCTCCCGATCGGCCCGAAGGCCGTGCCAGGCTTCGGCGGCGAGCGAGGGGGGGGGGAAGTGAGGAGGGGCGGGCCTTCTCCGAAGGCCCAGGATTCATGTCTTTCTCCTCGGCAACGAAGGCACAGCAACGCGGGGCCTCTCATGGACAGTTTGGCCGAGCGGTCTAAATCGGTGGCTCTCAGAAGGCCCAGAAGTCCTGCAGCCTTCTGAGAAGTTTCCCAGGCCTTCCCCAGAGACAGAGAAAACTTCTCAGAAAGGCGCGAGGGCTTCTGAGAAGTCCCGAAGCTTTTTGAGAAGGCCTTCTCATTCTCACTTCCCCCCCTCGCTCGCCGCCGAAGTCTGGAACTCGAGGGGGGGAGATCTTGACCCGTGCCTCCGGCACCCAGGGAGATGGGCAGTCGTCCGACACGGACTGCTGCGTGGAAGGGCGGGAGCGGGAGCGAGAGGGGGAAGGAGAAGAGGGGGAAGGCGAAGGAGGGGGGAAGGACCAGGAACTCTCAACTCTCAGATCACGTTCACGGCGACCTTCACAGAGGACTGACACCGCTGCTTCCCGGCCCTCTCTGGGGGTGTCTTCTGACCAGACCTTCGAGGCGCATCCAGCGCTGCGGCGACGACGGCCTCCCGGGAGACCCCCCCAAAAAGCCGACACGAGGGACAGGAAGCGCCATCGGCAAGGCGACCCCACGATGAAAAAACGAATCGAGCCAGGACCATGAAGAGATGGTCAGCTCTCGTCTGCGTGGCTGGCTGGGACCTGGCGGCCTCGACAGCGACGACGACGACGACAAACCGGCCGGGAATATCTTTTGATCCGTCAACTTCCCATTTTGGGCGCCGAGAGCCCACCAATCGGGCAGTTCTTGGTCGCTTGGTCGCATTACTGGGGAAACCAAAAAACACCGGCACCGCTGCTCCCCAGACCTCTCCCAGGGTGCGTTCCGACCAAGATTGCGAAGCGAATCCAGCCGTGGCGACGAGGGCCGCCCAGGAGGCCCCATAAAGTGAAAACAAGGCAATGATGGCGGTGTCGGAACCTCGTCCTCCTTCGAACGACAGCTCCCTCCCCTGAGCCTCAGCAGCCCAGAGTTGTTACCGAACTGCACCACGTACAGCCGCCGCCTGAGGGGCAGCGAAAGGGGGGGACCAGGCGCAGGGAGGGAAACGTCGACCCGGAAGAAGCGATACGTCGCCGATAGATCGGCGATGGGCCCCCGAGAATGAACCTGCACGTTCCTGGGCGGGGGTACCGGGCCCCTGGCGATGAATGGCCGAGGGGGGGTCCATGCGCCAAGCCCCCCCCCACCCGAGACACACGACGTCGTGGCTTGTGTGCACGACGTGGACCACCAAAGATCTGGCCCCCTTCGCGCGAGCCCATGGCCCCGAAGCCCAGTGATGGCCCCCAGAAATCACAAACAACGCAAAACTTTTCGCCGATTCTGTGCAGCGTAACCAGGGTCTGGGCCGACTGTGGTCCCTGAATCGTCGAACCTCCAAATCCGGCCATCAATTTGGCCTCCAGCTGCAGTTCCGGACGATCTGGGCACCCGTGGAACGCCCTCGGCGAGGCGCAGCTGCTGAAGGGCATCCCGAGGCGGGAGAACCTCCGGGAGCCGACGAAAACGTCAGCGAAACCTCGGATTTCGAACCTCGAGTCTGAGCACATCCCCGCTGAGCCTATCCCCCCCTTCGCGCTGCCTCTGAATATTTATAGCAAAAATCCTACATAGTCAAAAACGTAATCAACAAATCGTCCCCATGTTATCTTTGCAGGCTCTTGAAGACTCCTCCTGTAGAGGGACATGCCCGACTTGACCCTGAGCCCATCCCCCCTGTTTTTGATCCTCCGAAAGCATGTTGGCGCCAACGCGCGCTGGTCCACCGAAGCCTTTCGACACGACGCGGGCGGCGCACACGCAGGCCAGCACGAGGCCACGTGCTGCCCGCGGCGCGGCAAGAGGCAGCCCACACACTGCGCTAACCCCCGACCCCCAACGTCGTCGTCGTCGTCGTCGTCGTCGTCGTCGTCGTCGTCGTCGTCGTCGTCGTCGTCGTCGTCGTCGTCGTCGACCCACCTGGGACAAGAGCCTCTCGCCCAGCCGTTGCTGCTGGCCCCGGGGGCCCGCCGACAGGCCCCTGGGGCCGACCGCCCGGGGCCGAAGGCATAAGCGCCCGGCTCATACCTCGGCCCGACCGTGCTGCATCATTTGGCGGCGCGCACAACCCAGACCCCCTCGAGTAATGAAAAAAATATGACGGGAGGTTTTTCCGAATTTTCGGCCATGGAGCCCCTCACCGGGCCTCGGGAGCGTCAAAAAACGACTCAGGATGCAAAACCGGTCCCGGGGAAGGGGTCTGGACCTCTGGGGATCGACGTCGTGAAAAAATCATGACGTCGGGGGTCTGGGAAGGGGGTGGGGGGAGGGGGAGGCTTCTTAGAAGCAGGCTGCTTCTCAGAAGGCGCCGGCTTGCATCTGTAGATGATGGCCCGCGCCTTCTAGAGGCAGGGGGCGCTTCTAAGAAGACCCTCCCCCCACCCCCCTCTGCGCGTGGCTGCATCATGGACTTCGCCTGCGCAGCATGCCCGAGCTCCGCAGCTGCCTGCACGCCCTCCTATGCCCAGCTGCGTTCTTGCTCTCACTGAAGGGGTCCTAGCGGAAGTTGAGAGATTTGGCGAAAGTGTCTCGCCGAATTTGGTAGCAGGCTGGGTTCCCGGGTTCCCGGTTGCAGGTTCCCGGTTTCCCGTGTATTTTTTCCGGGCCGATTTCGGTGGGTTCTGGGTTCCCGGGCTCCCGGGTTCCCGGTCGATCTCCTCAGCGAAGACAATCCACTGATTGGTTTTTTTCTCTGGTGATTTTTTTTCACGACGTCGACCCCCAGTTGTCTGGGCCCTTTCCCCAGGACTGGCGTTTCATCCCGAGTCGTTGTCTGACGGCCCCGAGGCACAAGAAAAAGGCCCCTGCAGAGGCCGAAAATTGCGAAAAAAAACTCCCGCCGCGAGTCGTTCTTCAACAACGCGAGTAGGTCTGGGACACACGCCCTGAGGACCATCGGCCCCGTCCTTGCTCGGGAGCGGCCAAGAGGGGGGTGTCCAAGAGGGGGGGGTGCAAATCATGACCCGCGGCATGTGCGCGGCCCAGCGGGGGGGCCAGAGACGTAATGAAGTAAGAAGAGGCGCCATGAGATCTGGGGAAATATCATGGCCCCCGCCATGATATCCACCCCGCCCTAGTCATCACCCCCCTCTTTTCCGCCCCCGCCCTTGCCCCGGACCGCCCCGGCGCGTCGGAGCCCCGCGGCCCGGGCGCCGCGAGCGCGCCCCGCGCCGGGGCGGCCGCGTGGCCCGCGCGCGCAACGCTGGCGGCGCGGCGCGGGGTCGCCGCCCGCGCGGCGGCCCCGGGCGCCTCGCCCGGGGCGGCGGCGGGCTCGCGCGCGCGGGGCTCGCTGCCGCCCCTGCGGGACTCCTCCTCCTCCTCCTCCTCCTCCTCCTCCTCCTCCTCCTCCTCCTCCTCCTCCTCCTCCGCCGGCGCTGCAACTGTTGCACCACGAGCGCTGTCGCCCAGGTTCGGGCCACAGGACCCCCCTCGCGGATCGACGCGGCTCGCAGAAGGACGCCGAGAGGGGTGCGGGGCTCAGGCGATGATGTTCTGCGATGCTGCAAGTTTGTCGCAACGTCGGATCTCTGGGAAGGGGGGGGGGCTGGCTCCCGACTGAGAATGAGAACCCGGTCCCGGCGCATGGGCCGGGATTATGCCCCCCCCACCCCTCCTTTCTCCCTCAGGTAGGAGGTAATGAAAACATGATCCATCCCTTCCCTTCTTTCAGAAACGAAGAGGCTGCTCCTTCATTCCCTCTTCCTCAGGAAGGAAAGGAATTAAGAGGAGGTGGGGGTTAGGGAAAGGAATTAAGAGGAGGAGGGAAAGGTGGAGGTCCCGTACCTCCGTTGCAATGTTGGTTCCACCCTTTCTGTTCCCCTCAGCAAGGAGGAGAAAAGTCCTTCCTCCCCCTCTCCCTCAGCAAGGAGGGGGATGAGGAGGAGGAGGAGGAGGAGGAGGAGGAGGTGGGTATCACTTTCCTTCCCTTCCCTCAAGAAGGAGTACGAGGAGGAGGTTGCTTCCTTCCCCTCTTCCTCAGAACGGAAGTGGTGAAGATGTGAAGATTCCTTCACTCCCGCTCACTTCGGGCGAGGGAGACGCAGGTTCCTTCCGTGTCCTGCCCCTAAAGAAGTGTAGGAGGAGGAGGAGGAGGAGGAGAAGGTAGAGAAGGTAGAGGTTCCGCCCCTCTCTTCTTCCCTCTGGAAGGAGGAGGAGGAGGAGGAGGAGGAGGAGGAGGAGGAGGAGGGGGGGAGGCTCCCTCGTTGAGATTGCCAGGCGAGTTCATATTGAATTCCGACACAGAAGGAACCATTGCGTTCCTTCCTTTTCCCTCTTCTGGCGTATCGCTGGTCGTGTTTCGGAACAGGGTGTGTGAATACTCCTACCTTTCCTACTCTATCCTGTGCCCGCTGGCGCTTTCGGCTCACGGGCATTGGCTAACGTGCGCCGACAGTTGGACTAGTGGAGAAGGGTAAACCTTCATCATCGTCCTTCCTTCGTCGTTACCGCCTTTACGGATACCCGGGTGGGGATCGGCAGTTCGGTCAACCCTTCCCTCGCACACCTAATTAGGGCCCCATGGCGCCGACAAGGGGTGTCTGGGTGCCCCAGGTTGCCCAGGAACCTGCGACTTCCTGAACTTGGCGATGCATCGCTGATGTCAGGCCATTGATCCCCCCCGAGCCCTGTAGGTCGCCCGCAAAGGCGCGAAGATGATCGCGCCTCGCGCCATGGCCCGGCTGGAGAGCTGCCCTTCTGCAGGCGGATCGGCGCGAGGCCCCGGGGGCGGGAAGATGGCCGCGCGTCGCGCATCGCGGGGCGCGATGCGCGAAATTAAGTGGCCCACTCAGAGATCCTGCAAGTTATTTGTTTCAGTGCGTGGCCCTGGGGGCTCCGACGCCGTTGTTCGGGGCCGCGTCTTCGCTCAGGATCCACTCCTGCTGGCCCTGGGGCCGTTGATGAGCCCCCGAGGCCGAAGTCGGGGGAAGATGCCCGTCCTCAGCAGAATCAGCCACCGTGGACCCCACACAAGAAGTGATTGCGTTGCGGATGTTTAAGTTGTGTGGTGCCAGCTATGCGCTGGGGCCGCTGAGCCAGGGCCCCCTGCCACGCGAGGCGGGCCCGCCCGCGGACCGGCCGGGTTGCGACCTGGCGACGGTGGCGCTCGATGGGGGGGAGTTCCCAATCGAGCTGGAGTACGAGGCTCTCGGCGGCGGGCCCGCCGCTCGGGGCCGGGAGCAGACGCCGCCGGCGCCCGCGACGCCCCAGAGCCCGCCCCCCTCCGGGCTGCGCTCGCCGGCCCGGGCTTGGGCCGACCAGGACGACGACGCAAGCGCGGCCTGCGGGGCAGGCCACGAGGTGGCGACGCCGCCACGCCAGCGGTGCGGCCCCTTGCCGGCGGGCTGCGGCGGCGGCAAGCCGCCGGCCGGTGCCGAGGGCGCGAGGGCTGCTGCTGCGGCGGCGCGGCCGGAGGGCGGCAGCGCGGCCGGCGGCGACGGGGAGCCGGCCGCCGGTGACGAGGGCGCTGCTGCAGCGACAGCGCGGCCGGAGGACGGCTGCGCAGCCGGCGGCTACGGGGAGCCGGCCGCCGGCGGGGCCAGCGAGGGCGGCGCGGCGGACGCTCTCTGGGAAGCCTCCGGCCTGGCCGGCTTGCCGGTGGAGGCCCAGGCGGACGGGCTGCGGGCGCGCGCCGCGGCTTGGCGGGCCTTCCCGGAGGCTCAGGCGGCGGTCGCGCAGCTGGAGGCGGCAGCGCGCGACCCGGCCGCCCTGGGCCCCGCGGCGCTGCTGGCGGGGGCCGCGGCCCTGGGCTCCTTCTAGGGAGGGAGCCGCTGGACCGGGGCGAGCGCCCCGCAAAGCCGGGGCGCCAGGCGTCGGCCGCCGGCCGCGCCTCTTTTGCACTGCTGCTGCTGCTTTTGCTTCTCCTCTTGCTCTCCCCCCCCTTGCTGCTCTCCTCTCTCCTCCTTAGCCACGGGGCGACCTTCTCGCGCAGGTAAAAAAAAAGTGTGGTGCCAGCTATGTGGTGTAAGCTGTGTGGTGCAGTATACATGGCGCAAGCTAGAGGCGGCCACGAGGCGGCAACGGGCGGCAATGTGGCGAAACTTCGCCAGACCCACCCGGCGCGCGAGGCGGCAGCGAGGCGGCAACGGGCGGCAACGTGGAGACACCTCGCCAGACCCACCCAACGCACGAGGTGGTAGTGAGGCTG